TGTTAAGGGGACATGCCAGGTTTGTTTACAATTGGTTCAGCAGTTTGCCAGTTATATGCAGAAAACACACAAGCTTTTGTAAAATTATCGTTAAGATAACGTGAAAGTTACCTTCAGTATAAGTTTTTAATTCTTTTTTTTTTTTTTTTTCGTATTGAAGGTCCAAAATTAATTTCTGACTGCTACTTCTTAAAGCCTGATACATAGTGCGTGAATGTATTTACCGAAAAGTTTAGACAACAGTAATGATCCTCCTGTAGGACAACGATAAATGTGCGGGCTTACAACGCTAAAATCCGAGGTTAGATTTCCCGCGGTGGACACAACAGATAGTCCAATGTAGATTTGTTCCAATACAAACAAATAACAGTTGTATGTTACTTATTGAATTATAAATTGTGTATTAACTAATTTTCAACCGTGATTATAGTTCAAGCTGAAAATATCTACAAAGAAGGAACTTTTATGAGTTAGGATATTTTCTTTTATTTACGTTTCCATTCTGTTTGCATAAGTTCTAAAGTGTTTGTAAAACTGTAAAATGTTAGCAAATACAACCAAAGTCTCTTCCTTACAGAAACTAATATTTTATTATTTGGTATTAAGAAACAAGTCCTGACAAAAACGTCTGCTGGTGGCTCGACAATAAACCCGAGGGCTCACACCAGTTAAAACCGGGTTTCGATATTCGCGGTAGGTACAGCAGAGATAGCCCATTATGTAGCTTTGTGCTTAACAAACATGACAAAATAGCTTAGCTTTATGAACTGAGTTTGTTATAAGTACACCAAAAGTTGTGTCCAAACAACCTCTTGACGATTGGCTATAATCGTTTTTTTTTTAAATATAGTTGTACATGTGGTAGTAAGTTTATAAAAAAAACCTTCATTGTTGTATATCCACCCAAGACTAGCATTAACAAACTGAGTTAGAAATTAGGGGGGGGGGGACTAACGGACAAGAAGGTCCTTGACAGTAAGTGATAGTCACTTCAAACTTACGGTCAGATTAGAAAAACTTCTCATGAACGATTGTTTGGTTTTCGAGGGCTAACTGCGTTATCCGTCCCTAATTTAGCACTTATCGTCTGGCTACTCCTTTACCAACAATTTGTGTGATTGACTGAAACATTATAACGCATACATGGTTCTAAGGGTGAGCATATTCGGCGACGAAGATTCGATCGCCCTAACCACCAGACCTCTCACGTTCAATAATGACCTTTGTTAGGGTTAGTGAAGCGGTGCTGAGTAATAACATTGCGGGTGTTTTCGTCTTAATTAAAAGACAGCCAATGATATGGTCGCAAATAGAAAACATTTAAAGCTGACGTATTTTTGTTACAAGAGGAAAACTATTTCAAATCACATTAATTGTTGCATGAAACTTTTATTCTAAGTTGAAAAAAATTAACATATTATTGACACAAATTCCTTCAGCTTAAAGTCGCCAATAACAATTGTTTGTTTGGCTGTAATTAAGCACAAAGCTACACAATGGGCTATCTGTGCTCTGCCCGCCACGGGTATCGAAACCCGGATTCTAGCGTTGTGAGTTCGCAGACATGTACCCTAAAGATTTAATTAACATAACCACCACCATCTATTCACACCCTGTATATCCTTGAGCTGTAATATATCATAATATGTTGTTCTTTGCAACTTCGTGAAAACAGTGCGGCCA